TTAAGGGATATAAACATTAACATATTTTTTCATGAAATTAAGAGATGCTTCTCTCACCTTCAAAGGACTGATAAAGAAGCTCTGCCTTCAGTACCAACATAAAAGGTCTCTTGTTGATACCTCAGGCTCTGATAAACTCTAATGAAACAAACAAACAACGATAATAAAAAACTTCTAATTCAAATCCTAAAGGTTTTTAGGGTTCTTTTTAACCTGAGAAATCCAAAACTGGATAAAAGTCTCCTTGTATAATTGGTTTGCATTGACAGGCAGGGCAGGATTTGGCACAACTTGACAGCAGCCACTCAATGTTTTCTTGCACTTTGTTTTAAATAAACTACTACATTTGGAGATAATGGCAATTTTTTTATCTAATTCTATTCTTTTTTAGGTAAGCTTTTAAGTAATGCTCATTACCTTGGTGCCAGAGAGCATTACAGAACTGCATTGAGCAACATAGTTAACATCTATCATATGTGGTTTGTTCTCTCATCCCTCCCCAGAGGGAGAACTATTTATGCAATGAAATGCCTTGCTTTGATGAGGAGTTTTTTGTTGTTTTCTTTTTTTAATTCTTGGCCAGTGGCATTTGTAATATTCCTTGTGAAGTGTGGCTTACAATAAGAAATAATATAGAAAAATATGCCTTTCTAGAAAGACCTATTTCACTTTATGCACCTAAATGATATATATACAACCTTGTAATTGAAGTTTTGGCCACTCATGGGTTGTTTAATTTATGGGAGTTTAACATTTTGTTCCTATATACATATTTCAGTACCTACATACCAGAATTTCTAAAACACAAGGCACCAAGCAATGTCCAGGAGCTCCCGTGGAAGCTGCAGAATGCTGTCATTTTTTCAGATCAGTTATTCCTAAGTATGGATTTAGAAACCTGAATAAGGTTACCTTGAACCTTAATTGGATATTAGATAACAATTATATTTTCATTCTGCAGTCTATATTCTGTAGGAATGGGCTGACTTTCCATAATTAAAGCTGTTTTCCTGTACGAGATAATTTTTCATTACTTGGCACTGAATTAGCTGTTTGTGCACACTGATAACTTCTTTACATACATATATACATTTTGACTATTGTTTTATGTTTCCACATACAAATATTTGCTCTGCAGTTTGACTCTTTTCACATGTAACAAAGTACTCAGGAAAATGATCTAGTCAAGGGGCAAAAGTCCACTCATACTAGGGTTTCTTCTCTGAAAGAGTCTTCTAATAGCCTGCAGATGAAGGACATGTCAAATGTATCTAGGTTGATTGTTTAGATAGAACAGGGTTATAGTACAAGACCTTTAAGAAAGCTACCACATAAATTTCTCTCCAAAAGTCATTATTTACTATATTTTATTTACTGTACATACACAAAACACAAACAACAGTGTGTTATGTGATTGAAAGGGGTCAAATTCCATGCAAGCATGTTCATATCAATATGACTGCATGAGTGTAAATCAGATCTAACTACGTTCCTGTATTTTTGTTTATGTTAATTTCTGCTCATCATTCACAATGTATTTTATACAGATAACAAGGCCGTCTGAAACCAAATTTGGAAGAAATACATGTTGTCTGAAGCTATTTTGGTATGACAAGGCAAAAGATACATAATATAAATGCTCTTGAAAAAGAAAACTGAAAATATACATTTGACTTTTGTCATTGATTAAACAATGAGCAAATCGCACACCCAAACAAGAGTGATGTAATCAATGACGAGAGTCGATACACAGTCATATGACCTGAAATGAGGATTCAGCTCTTTGTCTTAGATGATTTTATAATGTGGTGCAAATGGTTTGGCTATCTAATGTGGCAGATTCTTTTTAATGGGATTTTCCAAAGTAGCTGGTTTGGGATTCATGTTCCATTTCTAACTGGTCACAAACCTGAAATTCATCCAGGAATAGTCTTCCTTCATCAGCAATCTTTCTCTTGTAGTTTTCCAACAACAGTTCTGCAGGAATGGGCTCTATGTTCAGTAGCTGCTTTTCATCATCTTTAACTATATAAATACATATTTGATATTTATTTTATTAGTTTGAATATTTCAGTAATTACATTTATTCTATAGCATAATGTGTTAACAAAAGAATAGGAACATTCAGTCACACTAAGCCAAAGATGGGTATAGCGCAAAACTCTGGCCTCTCACCAGTAAGTAAAAGCTCCAAAAGGAACTAAATCCCTCGAACTATAGGGGGACCCACCAAAAAGGACTGCACAGAGAGAAAGCAACTGACTATCTCTGTATGCAGAAGTGACCTGGTAAGTGATGGGGTATGGGGTCACTGCAACTTCCAAACCTGGCCCATAGATGACAGCAAAGCAGACACAATGATGACATGGTGCTGTTTCCTTTATTACATTCTCGCTGGCCATTTACTAGCTCCAGTAAAATATACCAGTGTGCAAAGCACCTACAAAACTTTTCCACAGAAAATAATAAAAAACATTGCCAATCTTTCAAAATTTCCCCCTGCATAGTCTCTGAGCTCAAATTAGCTATAAGGAAAATATACAGAGAACAATAATCAATCTTATTCTTTTTTATTCTGACAAGATACATTCTTGTATTATTCCATATGGCAATGAAAATGGATTTGAAAATGATATCACTTTCCATTTAGTATAATTAATGCTATAGCCAGAGATAGTTTTGCTTTCTTTCAACATGTTCATAATATATGGGAGTATATATTTTGAGTTTATCAATAGCATACATCAGTCATGTAAAAAGCAGCAAAATGTGTACAATGGAAACTCAGCTGTAATCTGTATATATGTTACAATATATAATTGCCTTCCCCTTGGTTTTTGAACTGAAGAAAACAGAAAGCACAAGAGGACAAAAATTACCCTCTCAGAATTTAAAAAAAACCTGAATTGGAACAATTAGTTCATACAAGAAATTTCCCAGAATTTTGACTGATAATCCCAGTCAACCCAATTTCTTTTTAATATCACAGGCAATCTAATTGTGCCACATTTCTCATGCTAAACAAAATAGTCTCTTGGGATTGCCTACTTTAACAATTTAAAACAATAATTTCTCCCCAATCTGGAATTAGTAGGTACCACCTATCAATCCTATGACTAGCCCTTTCCTTCCTATTTTTAAGAGCAATAAAAATTGCTCTAGGGCTCCTTAGTGTGCTTGAGTTGCCTTCCAGGATTTATTTTTTGGAAAGTTTTCTGGTGTTGGCTGAACCTATACCTTTTTCAGAGGTTATGTACTTGTTGTAGGAGTCTCCTGTGGTAATAATATGGCTGGGGAGCAAAATTTAATGCAAACACCAATGTGAAAGATTAAGAGAAAGTGGGCTACCAGATACAGTAAGCAGAAGGATGGTATGTCAAAGAAGTCTTTATAACTGAGCACAGAGGAATTTCATGTTGATGCTCAGTTCTTCACTTGTGGAAAGGTCTTTTTGGAGAGGAATTTGGTTCACAGATGAGCTCCATAAGAGTGTCTAGAGGTCTGCTGTGGTCATATTATGGCCAATGTCTGAGGTACAGAAATAGATTTGGTGCCAAACTAATAAACACAAGGTTTTCCTTATTTTGAAAACTTTTAGTCAAGTTCCAACCACTCACTTCATATACTCATGACAGGCCAACTGGTGTGAGAGAGGGTTTGTGCATGTGACAGAGGGCATAAGTCTTTTTATTAAGTTTTATTAAGTAAACTCAAAGCCTACTCAGGAACCTGGTAGTCTGGAGCGGGGGGCAGTGGGTGGGACCCAATGGTCTAAGAGCCCAGAGAGGGGCTGTGGGGGTCCACAAACCCAGAGGGGGGCTGTGTGTAGCTCAGAGGAGGGGCTACAGACAGATACTGCCAAGGCTGGGGAGTCTGGAGGTCCCAACAAGTCCAGGAGTGGGGCCAGGCCCCAGAAGGGGCCATGGCTGGAGACCAAGTCCAAGGGGTCCAGTCATGCCAGAGAGTCTGGAAGTTTCAAGTGGTCTAAGAGCAGGGCCAGGTTCAGGGCCCAGGAGAGGCTAATGGTCCATGAGGGACCATGGTTGAGGACTGCCAGAGCAGGGGAGCCTGGAGATCTCAACTGGCCCAGGAGGGGCCAAAGGTCTAAGAGGGGCCACTGTCAGAGACTGACAGAGTCAGAGACTTGCAGCCAGGGAGGCTCAAGCCTAGAAGCCTAGTCCATTATCATGGGCCTGAGCTGAAAGGCTCAGCGAGACTATAGGGGGAGGTGGCCAATAAGGCCAAGATCCCTAAAAGGTTGTACAACAGGGGTGGGCAAAATATGGCCTACAGACTAGATCAGGACTGTGTCCAGCCTGTGGTGGGTCCCTTAGTTCCACCAGGCCCATGCACCATCCAGCCTGTGGTGTGTCCCGCCACCCGCTTAGGACACAGAGGGGCTGGGGCACCTCCACAGCTGAACTTCCTTTCTTGGCAGCCCAGGCGGCAGCAGCTCCTTCTAGCTGCTGCTGTTGCTATCCCCAGCCCCACTGCATGCTCAGCGGATGGTGGGACATGCCACGGGCCAGACGGCATCTGGACCTGGTGGGACCAATGGACCTGCCTCAGGCTGGACAAAGTCCTTCTGGGGGTAGAATCAAGCCTGCAGGTTGTATTTTTCTCACCCCTGTTGTACAGTCATTTGCCTTATAGAGGTCTTAGTCTTATTGGCCTCCTTCCCCTATACTAACATTGAGCCTTTTAGCCCAGGCCTTGATAAGGAGTGTTGTTTACAGTAAGAGATAATAGAGAAAAATCAAGAGATAATAGAGAAAAATCAAGACAAATAAAGGTCTATTTCAATTTATGCACCTAAATGCATAAACCTAAATGCCCATAATTGAAGTTTTGGGCACTCGTGGGTTGTTAAATTTATGGAAGTTTAATGTTTTGTTCCTACATCCATATTTCAGTACCTAAATACAAGAGTTTCTAAAACACTGGGCACCAGCAGCTCCTGTGGAAGCTGTATCCCATGTTACTGGCAGGAACCTATGCACACAGCCCCCCTGACCCACCCCACACCCACTCCAGACTTGGCCCAGTGGAGTGAACCAGCTCTGGACCAGCCAGTACCCATGCACACAGCCCTAACCCCAACCTGCTTCATGCCTGCTCCGGACTCGAAGTTGCTCACCCATGCTGAGCAGCAGCAGCAGGGTCAGTGGCCAGGCAGAAGCTGCTGCTCAGCATGCGGGAAAAGCAGCCCCTCCACTTCACTGCTGCCAGGTTCTTCTTGCTGTAGCCACCTGGAGCCTGCACCTGGGCTGCCCTGCTGCTCCTCTGCACTGTGACCGCTGCCCTGCTGGGTGGCCCGGAGGCATCAGTGATGGCCGTGGAGAGGAGCCATAGGGCAGCCTAGGCATTGCTCTGGGCAGCTGCAGCAAGAAGAGCCCAACACCAGCAAGAGAGAGGCTGCTTTTTCCCCACCCTGAGCAGCAGCTTCTGCCCAGCTGCTGTCATTGTTCAATGTGGGCAAGTGGACTAGAGCAGGTGCAGGTCAGGCCAGATTTGGGACTGGGGCTGTGCACTGTTGGTGGTGGTGGGGAGAAGCTGCAGGGCACACAGGCTCCAGGGTCTTGCAGGAAGCTGGGGGGCAAGCTGCAGACCAGCCTGCAGCAGCTCCCCAGAATTGCCTATGTGGCCTGCAAGCCCAAATAATTGCCTGTCCCTGCTGTACAGTAACACCTACATAAGGTATAGTGTAGGTGTGAACGGAACCACATAGTGAGCCCTTAAAGCTACGGGTTCCTTGGAGGGGCACAGATACACAATTAGCCTTTAAAGCTACAGGTACCCTGCGGGGACATGGACAGGCCAGAGGGCCCATTGAGCTTAAGGGCTGAATCAAGACTGCTAGAGACCTGGTGGTGATTTGTATGGACTAAGGCTCACTAAGGCCCATGAGCAGACTTCCTCATTTAACCTTTATTAAGAACAAGGTGTGGTGGGTGAGCAATCAAGGGAAGGCTATATTAGAGCCAGAGCCAGGCAAGAGCTACACAGCCAACAGGGGACATCATGACTACCCCTGTGGCCCGGACCTGCCACAACAACATATGGACTCTATTCATTAACTTATTTTTTTTGGCCTTGGCAACACTGAATTGTTCTAATATAGAATTGCTATTACATGTGCAGTGCTATTAGGCCAGAGTAAACTAGCTACTACCAGACACAAGTACTATCCTATGGTGGAGCAATAAACTGTGGCGCAAACTGCACTGCATTAATAGCACATCTAGATGCTCCCAATATGTGTCAGATAGAAATTAACTGGGTGAAGTGTGGAAGGCTGTAACTTGGAATTAAGCATTTGTCTAATATTTCACATTTTCACTTGCAAAACGTAGTGAAAAAGGTACTTACCTCTCACAAGCCCCACATCTTCAGATGAACTCCTATAAGAAACATAAACATTTATAAGGCTTTGAAATGTACAGTGCATGTAAAGGAAGCAATTAATTTGACAATCATAAAGCATGGACAGACATACACGTTTATTGCTTTATGGAGGAAGGAGTACATGTCATCTGATTTGTTGCCACAGTCAGTATCTGTGTGCTCCTATCCCACTGTATGTAAATAAAACTAAACGTTACCCTTCAGTGAAAACACAGCTATTACTGTGCTTCATCTTCCACCTATGATGGATTAGAGTAGATAGATGGAACAATCACAGCAAATTTTACAAGACTAGAAAGCTCCAATCCCCTGCCTGATTATTAAACTAGTATAATAGTTTTGATCTTCAAACAAGATTAATATATCTGCACATAATTAGATTGATTCCAAGGGGATTGGGATCCCTAAATTATATGAATATTCAGTGATTCTAGGATCAGAAAGACGCGAAAAGTAATTTATACTTAGAGTTGTCTCCCCACACCGAGCTTTTTAGAAGCTAATATTAATGAATAGTGAACAGTTAAAAATAGGTGGTACATGTTCTCAGATGAATCTGTCTTTATAGAAATGTCAAGAAAATTCATAAATTTTTCAAGATTCTGAGTAGTTAATGAATCAGTAATTTATCAATACTCAGGATGAAAAATAATATGGACATGCCATGTTTATTAATGAAAATACTGTATACATAATTTTGTATTTATCTCACCAGCTTTTTGTAACCTGTATCAGATCAAATCAGAGATATTCTGTTGCACATTATTCAGAGTCCACATTATAGTCACTGCTATGTAAGCCATCCCAGATACCTGTTTGGTTTCACTTGCACCAATTTTTAAATCAAGAACTTCTTTTTCAAATATCAAATGAAATATTTGATTTTCATTTTTAAATTTTTAGCACTATATTCAAAATCTGCCTTTTATACTTCTTTAAAAAAAAATTAAAATGTGAAACTTACCGTAAGCTGTCTTTGTGAAGATTATAGATTTTGTACAGAACTAGAAGCAAGGCAATTGATGTGACAATAATCAAGAATGCCAAGAATATAATCAGGGCTTTAGAATTATCTGTCAACAAAAATAAGAAAGAGTATATCCATTTTAACTTCTTTTTAAAAAACAATCAGAAAGTTTATAACAATTGCATTGACCTTTTTATATGTTTATATATATGCACATAGATATACTGGGTAGGACTATGTGAAGTTTCAGGCGGCGATTCAATTTGGATGAGATTCGGCCTGAGTCGGTGGCCGAATCTCTGAATCTGAATTGAATCAGTGGACAAATTTTAAGGTCCAAATTGATTCAAAGCTCTCCAAATCTTTGGAAAAGATTCAAAGAGCTTTGATGATTCGGGCAGTCCCCAGTGGCTGCAGCAGGGAGCTGCTGCTGACTCCAAGCTGGTAAGTACTTGGGGTAGGGGGCTGGGGGAGGGGACCATAAGGGGACCCCTGTCAACCCCCTCACCTCCCCCACTCCCCC